ATTCGCAAAATATCACAAATTATTCATGACATTCAAAACATCTATCCTACTTTGACAGTTAGTTCTCATTGCGTATCACAGTCTATTGTTGCTGCTTATTTCAAATTAGCTGTTTTCATAAATGCAAAAAAATATATAGTGCTGCACCCTGTTGGTAAATCTTATAACTTCTAATGCTTTTGCATATCACAGAACCAACTGGTTTAGTTGAAACAGCTGACTAAATTCTTTAATTCCCTTTAAATATGAATAGTCATAAGGTTAACATGGGGAACTACAGAGCCACTGGGGCGGAGCCCGAAAGGAGTTTTGAGATAAGAATATGCCTTTATGTTAATTGGGAATGTGAGCTACCATCATGCCAAATTTCAATCCAATCCGTTCAGTAGTTAATGTGTGATTGAACTTCAAACAAACAAACAAACACACAAACTTTCACATTTATAATATTAGTAAGATTTTGATAAAACTTGACAAATTAATTTATTTTATACTAAGCTAATTGCAGACAAGGACTGTGAAACACCCCAGCTGCAGCGTTTGCCAAATTTGATAAAAATAAATCTAAAAGCTAAACTCAATGACACAATCTATTTTTTGTTATCAAGTTTTATTTATGAAATATTGATTTTTTTTGGTAAAAAATGTGAATATTTCAAAATCAAAATATGAAAATGAAAAACGAATCATGGAATTGAGTTCAGCTTAAAAGAGTAATCCGAAATGATGGGTCACAACACCCCTTCATATTTATAATAATTTATCATATTTCAAAATGGCGGATCCAAGATGGCGGCCGAAAAAAATACATCGGTCATAACCAAGTGAAAATAGGTCGACAATGACTGGTAGTGTATACTTATCTTTATCTAGCACTATTTTGAGATTATGGTCTTAGTTTGTAAATGCACAATGTTAAAATGGGCTAAAAATAATGTTTTAAAAAGCCCTCATAACTTTGGAATGAATCAAGATTTTTAAAAACGGTTTGTGGCATTGTAATCACGGTAACAATCTAATTCGAAATAATGGGTCACAACCCCACCTTTACATTTGAAAAAAAATATTTCGCATCCAATATGGCGGATCCAAGATGACGACCGGAAATGACCACTTTGTCGAAATAAAGTACTTACTACCAAACAATGTTTGGAAGTGGTCTGGGATTGATATTTGAAAAAATGTAGAAAAAGTTGGGGGGGGGGGGACAATTAAAACTCAATGAAAAAAGTAAATTGGTCCTGGGTCTTTCCGTGCCACCTAATAGCTACTTCCCTTTAGGGAAATTAGCTAAAACCAACAACTTGTTTGTTATTCACATAAGATAACACAAATCAATGATGATCTTGCTATGTATAAACAACAACTTACAAACCTAAAAGTAGGCCTACATAATCAGTTTACAATATGGGTTGTTTTCATGAAACAATTATATTAGGAAATCCGCCTACTCGGAAAAGTTTGCAGTGGCAACTTTGCGGAACTTATCACGTGCTCAATGAGTCTCCAAATGAGTCAAGTTTTCCTATCACGATAGTTTTTGATTGCCACTGAAGTTGAGTCTAATGATATTTGTTTGTTGCACTTAGTTAGTTACTATCTGTTTCTTTATGGGCTGTTTGTTATCAATAATGCCAACTGTCGTATGAGTTTTTATATTGATAGCAATAAATGAGTTGAGGCCAAGAATCTGTTGAATATTCCTTCTTTCATTTGCTGTGTGATGTTTGTTTGTCAGACAATAGAGCATAGAATAATAGAGTGTGATGGCGAATAATAATAATCACCTGCTATCAGCACTCCTAAGCCAAAGTTAGAAAAAAATTCTTTGTAAAATATTTTTGCAATCCTATATTATCTTTATTTTTAGTTAATTAAGTCAATCTTGATTTTCTGAGTCTACTAAATACACTCCTTATTGAATCTAGTTTAGAGTTTTATAACTTTAACATTTTAATTTAGTGTAGATAGTTTTACATGTAAAAACGTATACAGTGAAACCTCGATAAGAAGACCCTCGATAACAAGTCACTCTTGATAACAAGTGTATTTTTCAAATCCCCTTGAATTTATTTTACCTCTAATCACATGTTATTGCAAACTTCAATAAGAAGTCAACCTTAATAACCAGACTAATTTTATAATCCCCATGAGAGTCTTGTTATCAAGGTTCTACTGTACTTTGCAATAACTTTGTAAGATATTGCCTAGCAGTAATTTAAACCAAATTCCTTTTAATTATTGAACCTGGCATAGTTCTGTTCCAACTATTGAACAATCTTGGGTTTATTTGTATAAGAAATTTGGAAAACATCATAAAAGTTATAACATTTATCCTACGGATCTTAGGAGAAGAGTGTGCATGTATGCCACTTTTATATTTTTTAAGCCAGAAAATTGTAATCTGAAAGGAAAATCCTACAAATTGATGAATTAAAATTAAAATCTGAGATTGGTTTAATCTCAGCAGAATCTTATGAATTATTTATCTTTGAAATTGCACTTTTGTGAAATATTTGACTTTTTTACCATCTGTTCTTAAAGCTTACTTGTTTCAAATTATATTTTGGAATTTTAATATGCATTCTTTATTATTTAGTGTCAGAAATTATTCTTAACAAATCAATTCTGTTCATTTTTGTAAAGCTGTAACATTTGTGATAAAAAATTGTTGTGTCTAGGCTCAATATACCTTGTATGGTGAAATCAGGACCTATTATTATATTACTAGACACTTTTGATCCATAACAGAATTAAATAACTTCAATATCAGGATTATTATACAATTCTTGTTCTTCGTTATGATGTTTTTAACATGACTGCAAATAAAAATTTTTGCAAGGCAAGCTTTATTTGGAAATGACAGCTCCCTAAAGAAACGTTTTACCCCAAATGTATTCCACCCAGTAAAAGTTTGGAATCGGATTTTTTTAAACATTTTATGTATAAAGTAATACAAACTAATGTAATATTACTTCACAACTTTTCTATATCAATAATTGTTCCATAACTCAATAACTCTACTGTCCATACAAACTTCTTATCACAAATTTTTAACAGTTTTTTACGGGGTAAAGGCATTACACAACCTATCAGAGCACAACAACAATAGGGAAATAGTACATCTTTTAAGAGTAGTTATCAGTTATCAATTGTTTCAGGGTCATCAGATGTGTGTATGGGACAGTTACACAATCTTTGTACAGAATAAATTGTGTCTGGAAGTAGTGTCATTGAGTACTTTCTGCAATATTTTTCCACAGTAAATGCTTGATTTCTATCATCAAAAAGTGTTGCAAGTTTAGTCGCAGGTGTCATTGTGTGTTTTATGTAGTTGGATTTTTGTGTAAGGAAATTTTCAACACAGAGGTTGTTTATTTACCTGGCGTAAAGAATAATTTATATTATAAAATGCTGAGCGCTATGAGCTGGGTGGTTATAATGTTTTTCTAACAATCACAAGGCTGCTAGATTGTTTCTGAGAAAAAGCTACTGGATGATTCAAAACTGGACCCAACTGCCCATGATCATTGGACTTTCATTTTTTTGGGGGTTTTGGCTAAACAGCCTTATTCAGAGCTTCACAGATCATCTCATTCCGTGGTACACTTACCTTGCATTCCTATTCAGCTTAAAATACTCACATAGGTAGCCTATGTGTCACTGTCTTAAAGGATTGATCATGATTATAAGGCCCGGTTCACACGAACGACAAACCTAGCAGACTAGGCTTGGACTAGGTAAGCACTAGGTAAGCACGACTGGGTAGCGGACCACAGGATCAAATGGAGCCGTTCACACGAGCCTAGGACGCCGACTAGCTAGTCGTGTTCGAGCTTGATGTCCCAAAACCTAGTCGGGCCCCGCTTAACAGTCCGTCGCGGCAACTACCCAGTCGCCCAGTCGAACTGCGTAGCAGTACATGTAGCCTTATGGGAGCGTTCACACGAGCGATCGGGTAGTCGAGCTGCAGCTCGCATTCTTACCTTTGTTCTCATTGTGCACCAGTGATGGAACCGAGTGGTTTTGATCTCGATATTTTCACCTAGTCCGTGGACATGTCGCTCGTGTGAACCGGTGTGATTCTGAGGTCCGCTACCCACTCGTGCTTACCTAGTGCTTACCTAGTCCAAGCCTAGTCTGCTAGGTATGTCGTTCGTGTGAACCGGGCCTAATCTAGAGAGTCTTTAATCTTAATTTTTAGATAAGTGCCTTACAGTTTGAAGTACATTGGGCAAACAAATAAGTCTTACATAAGAAACCAATCTAGACATGAGTGTTGAATAGACTATGTTCATTATTAAAAAGTTTTTTGGCAGGTCTCGCTGCTTTATATGGCAATAGAGCAAGTAAAGTTGCTCACAAAAAGATTGTGTTGAAAATCACAACGATAACAAAAGCTCGGGCCAATGTCGTGTGTGATTGGTGGAATGCAATAAGGTCAGGTTGGGCCTCGCATGCTTGCTGGCAGTTAGATGGAGTAAGCTCACTGCTGATTTTGCGACTGCTACTGCAGCATTGCCATCACCTTAAACACATTGATATTCTTTTGTTCTGCTGGCGACATTGTGTTGATTTGAATAATTTGTTTAGAGATAAATATATCGTATCTTCTGCAATGAAAACAAAAGGATTATTTATGATGACAAAATTTATTTTTGTTTTAATCCCTTGAATGAAACATTTGTTAATAGTATATTTCATCACTAGGGCCTAAAGTGACTCTATTTGACATATTTTCGCTGTTTGTGTCCTGTGTGTTTTTTAATGGTTTTTAATGATCTGTCCAGCTTGGATTGAAAACACAGTCTAGTAGTCAGAAACTACTAATACAACATAACTTAATAGAGCTAGGTAATTTCAACCATTTTAGCTCAAATTCTGTGATGCAGAGGATATTTCACCAAGAAATAATTTGTTTCTAGTAATGTGTTATCTCCAATCAAAAGCTAGATAGTGAAGAGTTCTTCAACATCCTCTAAGAGTGTTTTCTGTTGCAGGCGTATGAGAGGAGGTTCCCAACATGCAAGTTGATCCCTGTAGTCCTGGCTTGTGAGATCACTGAAGACAAGACATCGCCCGACGGAGCCATCAGAGTCACTGAGCGTCGGTGTAAGCTCAACGTGGACGCTCCTTTCCTCATCAAGAAGGTAATATTTTGGTGGATTTAGTAATTTAGAGGATGAAAGAGACTAAGAACGATCATCTTAAAAGAGGAGGCTCTTGAGTCTTTACATCATCAGCACAGACAATAAATACATTTAATAAACAAAAAAAATTATATAAAACACTTCAATGAGCCCTGTAAATCTTCTTTATCCTTTACCATTGTGACAGATGCATCTGGTTCTGTCACAGGATAGAAGGCTTGTCGCTTTCATTTTAAGAGCTTTGTATCAAAGTTAACAAAAGTGCAGTTCGGTTGTAAAGGAAGCTAGTGCAATCGTGCACTTTGTACGAAAATGGAGAAACTATTTGTGGGGAAGACATTTCAACTATCATAGTTACAGACAACAGAAAAAGGTACAGTATAGAGGAAAATGTTTGGAACACAATTTCTGACTTTGTAACTATGATGGTATAGTTAGGAGGTGAATATACAAAAAGTCCCAGCCTCCAGCCCTTGAGCTGGGTGTGGCTTGGTACCATTTTTAGTTGTTTTGCTTATATATGAGAAACCATGTATTGTTCTGTACTATTTTTCAATATCTTGTTTAGTATTCATTATCAAAAGATTGTAAATTTAGAAAAATAAATAGTTTCCACTTGTTTTTGGTTCATTTTGACTAGGTACTTTCTAAGCCATGCTTCCAAAAAATATATCTTGGGCATAGGGTTGTAAAAAAATCAAATTTCCTTCAATAATATGTAATTTATCTTTGTTTAAAATATTCTAGTTAATTTTCAAAAGATAAGTCATTTGATAGTCATTTTGGATGGTTGTAGATTTCATCCAAAAATAAATTGAGATTTTTCATGAGTTGTTTTACTATAAACATTATTAAGACATTTCTTTAATCATGAATAAATGTTGCACTAATGACCTTAGTGTACAATATTCAAACTTTTGAACCATTGACAAAAAAACACACATTGAGTTGTGAAACATTAGGGTGTAAAATTTAGCATTCTCATTGATTCTCATGTATTAATTTACCAACATATTGATTATATGTTGTCGCTATTATTCTACAAAGAGGTTGAACTTATAAGATGGGGTTTTAAGCTTATAAAGCCTGGAGCTCGGGGCACTTCTGTCACTTTGAACCTTGCTGAATATTGAATACCCTTTAGCAATTTGTCTGTTTTGTAAATTAGACATCTAAAACATCACTATATGAGCATTTAGATAACAATAAAGGTGACTTATATTGCAATTTCAAATATATTAGGCTAAAAAGCATTTTGTGGCGGGTTTATGCCACACGTTTATTTAAAGGAATAGTCAAAACCCTGGCCTTGTTACAATCTTATTCGACCCTTTAGGAAATTTCCTGTATAGGGTAGGGAATAAGCAATTACCGTAGGTCTCATAGCAAGACCTGGACCCGGGGCCAATTTACATTTTATTTTTCATGTCCGCAGAGGATTAAAACACCATTCGTTCAAATTCTCACACACATATATATATATATATAGTTACCCGGCACGATTTGCAGCGCTAAAAATTATTATTTTTAATGGAAATTTATTCTTTACGATAAATAATAAAAATGTATACCAAAAACAAAAATGGAATATTTATTTTACTTAATTGCCAGTGGATAAACAATGTTTTTTGTTTTTTCATTAGGTGTATAAATATACAGTAGAACCTCTTTAATCCGAACCCCCGTAATACGAATGTCCACTAATCCGAACGCCTTATTGCTGTACTCTATACACAGAACGGTAGTTCTTCATTGGATACTGTATTTATTGGTATACGCACCGTAATCGTTTCTATTGTAATGTGCCGTACTGTTTATTCCCTATGTTTACTACTGTATTAAATAAACATTGTATTTTACTTTATAAAGCATTTTTTTACTTTTCCCTAGCAATTGTTATGTAAAAACAACAATATGTTTGTAATCCGAACTATTCAATAATAGTCCTAACTACCCCCGGTCCCAATTAGTTTGGATTAAAGAGGTTCTACTGTATACGTTTTTAGGCGAACCTACCACCACGTGAGCACGCAACATACAGCTGTCCGTGTGAAAAGCATGCATTTTCTAAATTTAAACCGGCGATAGTCAGGAATTGCCCTAGTGCCTTATAATGGTGATTGCTAAAGGAAGGCACAATGGAAATTGTAGTTGCTTAAATTCAGAGGGTAATTCGGATGAAATCATCAGTATTCTTGGGATTAAGACTATTTCTCCTTTAAACTTACCACTGATAATTTTTGCTTCAATCAGTTTTGGTGTCATTTTTAAAATCGTTAGTCTGGTAACGTTGCACAGCTTCGGTGGATTTAAGTTTCGCATTAGTATTATATTGAAATTCCTTCTTTTAATGACAGTAATGTGGTGGGTTAATGACAAATTGGGAGGCATTTGAATACCTGAGATAGCACACACGATTATTATTCACTTAATTTATGTTAGATTGTTTGGGTATAGAATAAAAGATGAAAATATAAAGGCATTGCCATCCCTTTTATTGTTTATAATACTTTGATAAAGGTTTTTAGTATTTATGTTTATATATTTAATAGTGGAGAATTTAAACGTTGTTGAGTGCACAGGTGTGCTGCGATTGGGGTTTAATATATTTGTACTTATCCAAAAGTAAAATAGTTTTCTGTGCTGAGTTCTGTGGAAACAGTGTGGCACTATTTCAAATCATGACTAAAACAAAACAGTTGGTGAAAGTATAAACATCTGCTTGTAAATTATATTATTTATTTGTAAACATTGTAGTTCCCAAAGTCTGACATTGGACCCCTTAAAACCCTCTGGGATGGAGCCCTTTTGATGGGTCTGCACCAAACTTCACACAAACCATCCTTGAATAATGCTTAATAATGCCTGAAAGTTTCATTACAATCTGTCGAGCGGTTTTGGAGTCCATAGGGTATATACTTACATACTTTCTCTTTTATAGATATAGATGTGTCCGTTAGTACAATAACTTGAAGAAAAATTTTATTGGTCTGATTAGGTTTTTACCAAAATATTACCATAAACAAGTTATATTTCTTCCCCATTAAAATAACATTAGATTTAACCACTGCTTAGGTTTCCTGCTACGGGAAAGGGGAAAAGTGTTTTTGATAAAATGTTAGAGTAGCCTATAAGATGAAATAAATACATTTGCCACATTTGAAAAATACATCCATAACAAGCAAACTACAGCAGTTTTCTTTTCATCCACAAGAAAACATGGTTATTTTGAATGTACAGTATTTTTTGGAGTTGTCTCCGTAACCTTTAACAATGCTTCAAATTACAAAACCATTTGTTTTTAAGCTTTACTTGATAGCTGTAATGAAAAAATCCCGTAACAATTTTTTTCTATGACCCGATCTTGCTGGTTCATGGACCCATTCAAGTTATCCAGTTATACCTATTATAGCCAAATTTAATTTAAATCAGACCAAGGTTTATTATGTCCTTATTGATATTGGGACCCCTTTTCCCCTTTTTGGGTCAGATGATAATCGTAGTAAACAATCAAAATCGATCACCACTACCATCTCTCATTTCTGCCTTGTTTAATCAGTATAAGTAGTGTAAATATATGTTTTAAGTGTTACTATACAATTTTTCCTATAGGAAGTAGCTATTACCGTAGGTGGCACCAGACCTGGAGCCGGGACTGCGATAACTTGAGCATCTTGCTGTCTTTTGTCCGATTTTGATGAAATTTGGGTTGAAGGCAGGATAAGCTTGAATGACCAGCATGATCGGACCATGGGAACAGGGTTTTAAGGGGGGGGGGGGGTTTATGGGGTAAAAATAGGTTTTTCTAATTTTTTACCCTCAAAATTTCTTAATTTCTTTCTAAACCATTTAAAGAGCTTCAAAAAAAAAAAAAAATTTCGTATACCTAAGTTTTTTGTACGATTACTGGTTACAAAGAAAATACCAAAATTTGCAAATTAAAAATTCCCATGTTTTTCTTATGGAGAATATTGTATAATGTTTCAGTTTACTTGTTTATGGACATATTTTGTTCAAACTTGGCAAATTTATTTATTTTATACTAAGCTACTAATATTTTACTTAAAAACACTTTATTAGCCTCCCTGTAGCAGCAAACCTAGGTACTCGTTAAACCTAATACTATTTAAATAGATTTAATTTAAAATCATTTCAGGCAAATGGAGATTCGCTTAGTCTGCAGGTTTGCCGCGACGGGGGTATTTTATAATATTTTTTCCATAAAATTAACAAGACCTAATATGCTGATTAAGATACTACTTAATAGTTAAATGTGTTGGTGTCAGAATTGTATTTTATTTTGTACATTTTGTTACGGCGATAGTGTATGTGACGGTGACAAAAATGCTGTAGTTCATACTTTGTGTACTTGTTTTTCTTTCAATTTGCTTCCTAAAAAAGTTGGTGTGACTCTGTAAACTGGCTATAGTGTTATACTAGGAGTAAAATGCCTTCTTCTCTCCATAGTCAATCTTACTGGTGGCTGAGTGTATGTGGCTAATTGCTATTATCTATCTTATCTACAATCTGCAACCTATAAAAAATATATTATGTCACTTCCTAAACAGTTATATATATATAAAGCCCAAAGTACCCATGAACTTTTGAGAAAACTACAAGTCACACCCCTATAAACCATATACTTAAAATGCTCAAAAGTGACGAGAAACCTTGCGCAAAACTATCCATTATTTCATAAATTGCCCTTTAAAGTCGTAATTCCTTTCTAAAGGGAACTTTCCATATACCTAATGTTAAAAATACCTCAGCTGTAGGCCTACTTATTTGTTTGTATTTACTGTATTCTGTTTTGTTTATTCCGCTTAACTTAACCAATCAATAATTTTATCAATACTTATGAAGTCAAACGGGGTGAAGCCCGTGGGTAACAGCTAGTTTTTAATAATTTCAGATCTCAATTCCCAACTGATTTAAATTTCCATTGAATGACTGATAGCATTTTATTTCCACGGCAGTAGCTATATAAGTGTGGTTGTAGC